GACCGCTTCCGGGAAATGTTCTGCTGCGTTACAGCACGGTACTGGGTTGTCGCCGGCACCGTCGTGCACCGCTCAACCAGAGCCGTCGCGGGCTGTTGCAACTGATCGCCGTAAACTAACCGACGGTAATCGTTCAACTGAAAATTCTGTGGCCTACCTGAGAGGACCAAATTCTCCCGGAAAAGATAGTAGAGCTCCCAACCTAAGAGCTCGAAACTATCGCGGGAGGGATAGTTGAGTACATCCCCATAGTATGTGAGGATTCTCTGCATCCTCCGCACATTGAAATTGGGCTCGTGCTTGATGGTGCCCACCAGCTGGGCAATCGCCGCTCCTGGGGTTGGTGCGGCTATCGTGCGAATAAACATCGGGTAGGTGCCCACCTCCCCGATAATATCTGACGCGGGGCGACTCACGATCGGATAGTCATTCGTCATCCTGCGGCGCCAGCGTCCAATGGACGCAAACTGCACCCCAGGTTCCGCCTCAGCGTCCTCACCGTCGGAAAACTGTTGCGGGGACGGAATTTTGGGGCCGGAGGAAAAACTGTGGGCAAAACCGCCTCGAGGGGCCTGTGAGGCCGCTGCGAAAACCCCTCGCTGCGGCTCCGGCTGCGGCGCGCGTATTGGTGGGACTGCCGATTGGAGGCAATAGGCCGATCTGAAGTGTCCAGTCCGTGGAGGGACTCCGCCAAAAACAGCTGAGTCCTCCACGGGCCGCTCGAATCGCGGAGGAGACCAGGCCTCGCTGTGTGTATGCGAACTGTAAGCTGAAGTTTTCGAATTAACGATTTTTTTTGGTAGTTTACAAAAAGAATGGAATGATGAAAAGAGTAAGAATGATACGAGGAGGATGAGGAACAATGGCTCCGACCTTTGCTGATGACATGATTTCTACCTCTACTACTCTCCCTCGCTCTTCTCCTTCGCCTTATCTTTCGGACTTGCAGAATCAAAGTTCTCACACAACTTTTGAGTTTTTTCTTTTCCACCCACCCACCCCCGTGGTTGCCCACCACGACAGGGATCCTTGGGTTTAACCAATTCAACTACCCTTGTTTGCCACTTCGTTAGTAGTGCTACCTATTAGAAAAAATGGAAAAAGAGGAAATCGCCAAGTCCAGTGCACCATCGTCCCCTGACGTTGTAGGGAGTAAGTTTGGCAGCGGGACGCTGCGCGGGGTGAATAGATAATATGTTGGAGGTCCATCGCGAGCTTGGAGGGTGGAATCAGGTCTCAGCTAATGCATCTCTCTCGGACTCTTTGCACCTCTCGATTCTTCTATTCTGCACTTGAAAGTGTTCTTGTTCTGAGAGAAGATAAAACTGCTTATCTAAACGCAAAAAGTGTTTCAAAAGGAAAAGTGACACTTCACTCCGCTCTCGCAACGGGTGCTCCCTTGCTGCTTTATATGAACACTCTGTCAACTAAACGTTCAATACAAAGAAAATTTTTTTGTTTCAATAGTGAATCAATCAAAACGTTTTTTTTTGTGTAATTTCATCTACGAAGTGCGACAGCGGAGACAACGTGTAACCTGTAGAAGACCTTTTTTACTTGCCTAGGATCGCGGAACGGTTCAAGCGTCCAAACATCACATCTAAAATTCATTTTCCTTTTGCTCTCCTTGTTTGATGATTTTATTTTTCTAAATGTGGTGCTAAAAGCATGTGTGCCGATACGCTCTGTAGCGGTTCTCTTGTAGGTTGCGTACGCTAACCTTGCGGACTCCCTTTCGAGTAGCCGCTGTGAGAATTCCGGCACATCGCAGTTTAAGTATGCGACGAAAGCACACTGGCAATCGTGAGGCTCCAGAGAACTTTTTTCCCTGTAAAGTATCGAACCGGAAAACAGGCAGCTGAGCAGGCGCGGATGAACAAAACTGAACACGCGTGTGGACTGCGATGTGATGTATCCTCGCTGTTTTGTTGTGCCTCTGACCGTCTTTCTTCTGGAAACGTTGCTTTTTTAGTTTTTATGTTTCAGTTCCCGAACGGTACAAATGCACGTCTTTCTTTTTCTCATTTGTTGTACACGCGGAAAAGTAAAAGTTGTGCATTCTCAATTCATTGATTAAAGAGTTAATATTACGACTAACTTCTTTGTTGCAAATTGAATTCACGTGGTTAAGATGTTGAACAGTCAAAGGGGGGATGCTCTCACAGCTCCAGTGGCGCCATCGTGGTGCAGAATATCACGCGACACCAAACTCAAGTGTTGCGCCCTCCATTTATTAGATTCTGTTGCTTTCTTTGCAGCGAAAACTGCTGGGACTGTTTTCAATGCATGGTCGAGGCAAACACGGTTATTTCCCCTCTCCCTCTCGTGTCGATGTGCACATCTTCTTTCTTTTCTCGCCACATTTCTTTTCTTCTGCTTCTCT